ATGGCTTACACAAGAAACAGACAAATCCACAGACAGTTGAATGGCTTATTCAAAATCACTCTCAAGATAAAATTGGTGTAGACGTCATTTTAACTGTGGTGAAGAGTTCAAATTCTAGAAATGAAAACGTTTAGGAGTAAGAAGGGAATTCAGGCAGAAAGTTTTTAAACATAATAATAATAATAATAATCCTTGCATTTGATATAGCGCTTTTCACGTCAGGAGGACGTCCCAAAGCGCTTCACAGAACACACTGTAAAGTGAATTGACTGTATATTTGTGGGCGAACGCGGCAGCCAATTGCGCACAGCAATGTCCCACAAACAGTCGTAGATTGAAAATGACCAATTTAATTATTGTTTTGGGTTTTGGAGGGATTATTATTAGGCTCTGTGTGGAGTAAGGAAACTTGCCCAAGGTTTCGCCCTCTGCCTGGAATTGAACTCAGGTCTCTCACTTGCAAAGCGAGTGCTCTAACCACTGAGCTACAGGACTCCACAATGTAATAATGTAGTAAACTCATGGATATTTTATCAGACTTACAGGGGTCAAGGGTAAATACAAGTATTTCTGAAGCAAGAGGTGGATTAGGGATTAGGGAAAGAAAGAGGGGATGCGATTTACTGAAAAGACAGATTTGGGGGGATTTGGATTGCTCAAAGTACCGCTGCTACGGTGTGGCTCTTATCTGCTTATCCTCTCTTGGTCTATCTTCTATCTCCTCTGGTTGTTTCCCTTCTTTTGAACAACTCACGATGTATTACCCTATTCTCCTTTCCTTCAAGATCCTGATAGTCTATCATTTCCCTCCCTCACCCAGCACTTTCGTCACAGAAATCTCTCCTTTTCTGTTTCTGCAGAGCCTTTCTCATCATGGATGACTTGTACCTCCACTTAACTCTTCCTTCCCCATTACCTCTGACTTCTCGGCTCTCCTCCCTTAATCTCCCTCAATCTCACCCTCCATATAAACTCTGTCGCTCACAGTGTGGCCACGCATACTATCTTTCCCCTTCCCCTGCTCTGTCATTGTAAAGCACTCCTGAGACATTATCTTATGTGAATGGCACTATATAAATGTGAGTTGTTGTCGTCTACAACAATAATTTGGATTTATTAAAGTAGAAATGCACACGCACAATACAAGGCTGTCTGAAAGTCATTGTATTTAACATGATGGTGCCGCATTTGCTGGCTTTATAATAATAATAATAATAATAATAATCCTTGCATTTGATATAGCGCTTTATCCATCATCCTTGTCCCTTTTACAGTTGGAAACACAGACTGTGCGTTAATTATGTTAATGCATCTGAGCTGTCTGGTCCCAGAATGACATAACATTGTTTAATCAAATGTCTATGGTTAGTAACTCCCAGGAAATCTACAAATAATATTGGGCAGACTGGAAATCTAAGTAACTCAATCAAAGAACACAATTACTTCAGAGACCAACAGTGATTTCTCACACCTTCTGATAAATGTAGATGCAAACTAAGGAAGAGGGACATTCGACCTTCTGAATTTGAAAGAGGAGAGTTCAAGAAATATTCAATCAAGAAAAAAAACTGGTGTAACGAATTGAGCTAAAGCTTACAGCTCACTCGTTTGAATCCCAGTGCATGGTTTCAGCTGCAATTGCATTGGGCCCCAGCCTTCCCAGGGTTAGGAAGTAAGCAGTACCTGTTCCAACTTCTTCTACAGCCCTCTACAGATTGTATGACTGTTTGGCAGCCTCATGGGGAGAATTCAAGGTTAAATATCATGGTACACACACGAACAATGGTTACTTGAGAGGAGTGTTTGTATGTTTGTGTGTGTATATTATATGTATATGTGTGTGTGTCAAATTGTGTCTCATCGGAACATAGGAAAACAGGAGGTGGTCAATCAGCCCAGTTTAATATATCATGGCAGATCTTTTAATCCTAATGCCCCACCCTTTAATACGCTTACCACCCACAGATATTGACTGCTGGATATAAACAAACCTTTTCATATTTAGTGGATACATGAGTTGACCCAGTTAAAAAATATCATCCAATACTTTGGAAACCCTATGCTGGTTTTAAAAATATACGTCCTTGGACAAACTAACGTAAAAATTATATTTGTGGCAGAAGTAAGTTTTAATTCAAACATAGTTGTGACAGAATTGAACCTTAAAATATTTCTGAATTTCACATATACCCTGCTTGTGATCTCACCCTTCAATTAACCTGCTTATGTTCAATTCCCTCCAGGCAGCCGTCCAATTTTTTTTTAAAAGTCAAATATGTTGAACATGATTTGAAAGAATTCACGTGAATTGCTGTAAGCATGTTGCAAACATAAAAGTGCACTGTACGCCAACAATAAAGGCAACCCCCCCCAAAAAAAGAAGGACTCAATAAAGTGGAATTAGAGAATAAGTTGGTGTAAAGAACAGGAAATGTAATTATAAACTGAAAAAGCCACAAACTTAAGAATTGATTGGGTCTAGATGGCGTTCATTTTTTAAAATGCCTAAACAGCTAGAGTTGCTCAAATGGGGACTGCTAGCAACTAAATATATGCCTTTGATGGTTCTGAACTGTACTACTCCTTTAACCTATAGTCTCCATGGTGGTATCAAGTTAAACCCGAGAAGAGTCTTTTTTAATTACCTAGAATGTTGTTCTCTCCACTTAAAAGTATAATAAAATGTCTTAATCCACAACACTTGATACATACATATATTGTAGTCCTGTTAAGAAACACAGCCAGTTTTTGTTAATAGGTTTGTTCATTTTAACGTTGCCAAACTTTAAGTTTTAGATGTGCAGACTTCAATTCATCTCAGTGACACATTTTTTATGTGTACAAGTGACAATTTTTTTACCCCCAACGGAAGATTCTGACAAACACCGACATCTAGGCAGTTCTACAGTCAGTATAAGAGGAAATAACAAAAAGAATTAATGCTCATTGCATTACTTACTGAAGGTCAATTCAATGATTATTTAACTGCCTACATGATAGAATAATACATCACACAAAAAAAGTCTTGAAAGTGCCATTAAATTGGTACTATGGATGCTCTTGTGCTGCGTTTTTGCTTACACTGTTCGGAGTGAAGGGACTGAAACGAAGAATTCAACCAAATTAAGACTAAAGAAAAAATTCTGGACTAGTTTTAAAAAAAGTAAATAAAACATTTCTTCTGCTCAGAACATTAACTGAACTTATTTTAAAACAAACTTATTTATTACTTAAGTTGTTCAGGTTAGTGTCGCTACATAAAGTTGTCCAAAATTTGACTAGTTTTACTGCACCTCATCACTTTTGTTTTTCCATTTTTTTTTGTCCTTTTGAGCATGACAGTATGGAAAGAGGTGAAAACATGCACCACCTAACCAATGGAGGCAAGAGTTTCTTTCTATAGAACTGCTGGCAGTTTGCAACAGCAACAACAACAAAATTACATTTGTATCGCGCCTTTCAAGTCGGGAGGACGTCCCAAGGCACTGGACAACCAATATTTCGGACCCTAGCTGGGGGTCAGGATCGGGGTGGGTGAAGGGCGGGGTGGGGGAAGGAGGCAAAGTAGGGGGAGAGGCGGAGGATTGCGGGACAAGTTCCAAAGGGTGGGGGCAGAGTAGCTGAAGGCCCGCCCACCAGTAGTGGGGTGGGCAAGGTGGGGGACATAAAGCAGGCCAGAGCCCGCTGAGCAGGGAGGTTGGTAGGGGATTAGGAGGTCACGGAGGTAGAGGGGATCAAGGCTATGGAGGGCTTCGAAGGTGAGGACCAGGATCTTGAACTGTATCCTATGTGTGATGGGAAGCCAGTGGAGTCGGGCGAGGACGGGGGTGATAGGGCCATGGAGCCTGGTGCAGGAGAGGACATGGGTTACAGATTTCTGGATGATCTGCAGCCTATTAAGAGAGGAGTTGGGGAGGCCGACAAGCAGGAGTTTGCATAGTCAAGCCCCAATGTTATGAATGCAGGTATGAGGGTCTCGGCAGCCGGCGATGTGAGACAGTGATGGAGCCGGGTGATGTTGTGGGAAGGCAGAGTGCATCACTGCATAGATGTGGGTACAAAGGATAGTTGAGGATCAAACAAGACCCCAAGGTTCCGGACTGGCTCAGTGAGGTGGAGTGTGCATCCCTGGATGGTGATGCTGTCAGTGCCTAAGGTGAGGGGGCGCTGACGGGAGCCAATCTGGAGAGCCTCGGTCTTGTTGGAGGACGTGGAGTCCTGTAGCTCAGTGGTTAGAGCACTCGCTTTGCAAGCGAGAGACCTGAGTTCAATTCCAGGCAGAGGGCGAAACCTTGGGCAAGTTTCCTTACTCCACACACCTAATAATAATCCCTCCAAAACCAAAACAATAATAAATTGGTCATTTTCAATCTACGACTGTTTGTGGGACATTGCTGTGCGCGATTGGCTGCCGCGTTCGCTCACTAATATACAGTCAATTCATTTTACAGTGTGTTCTGTGAAGTGCTTTGGGACGTCCTCCCGACGTGAAAAGCACTATATCAAATGCAAGGATAATTATTATTATTGTTGACTTTCAACTGAAGAAAGTTAGCTCTCATCCAGGACTTGGTGTCTGACAGACATTCTATCAGGACAGCAGTGGTCCTGAAGTCGAGGGTGGAGGCAGAGAGATGGAGTTCGGTGTAATCCGCATCCATGTGGAAGTTGACCCCATATCTGCAGATGATATCACCAAGAGGGTGCATATAGATATTGAAGAAGAGAGGACCAAGGACAGAGCCCTGGGAACACCGAGGAGAAACTGTTTGTGAAGATGAAGTGGAAATGTTTTAAGGGTTAATTGTGGTCAAACAGTACCTAGATTTGTTTTAAAAACTCATCTCATTTTAAGATTACCAAAACTCAGCAAGCACAAACAGAAAAAAAATGGGAAAAAAACGTTTGGGGTTCCTAAAATTCAATAATATTTTATAACATTGGTAAATTTAAAAGTGAAACAAATAACGATTTAAATCTATAAAACTTGCTTTACTTACATAGAATCTACATTATCTTTTGTCCCTTGTACTTGTCCCTCCACTGTTCCTTGTCTGGTGTTTCTTACCCAGCCGACCACACCGAGTTTTCTAGCCTGCTCCTCGGTGTACTGAAACAATGATGAAAAGCATGAAAAGCTCTCATGCCCATTATTTAGATGGTCATTTTACATGTGTTTTTCAATCTGCATAATGCACTTTATACTGTACAAACATGCTGAGTGGCTAATTGCCAAAAATTGAGTGCAAAAATATTAAACTGACAGAATAATAATAATCCTTGCATTTGATAGAGCGCCTTATCATGTTTTGGAGATGTCTCAAAGCGCTTCACAGAATGCACTGTAAAGGGAATTAACTGTATATTCTGTGGGTAAAACGCGGCAGCTAATTGCACACAGCAGTGTCCCACAAACAGTCATGGATTGAGTGACCAATTTAATATTTTGTTTTGAAGGAATTATTACCCCCGGAAAAGCAATCTGCCAATCGACTAAGAACCAGGTTCCTACTTACTGCTAGATAAACAGAAGTGTGTGGAGTAAGGAAACCTGCCCAACATTTCGCCCTGAGAGAATATAGAGTAAAAGGGGATGCATGCATTTTCCTCCCTTATTTTCTTTCCTGTGGTTTCCCTATACCAACACACTTTCTTTATGCAAGATAATGGGCTGGAGATCTCCAGAGTCAATCTCAACTATAAAGTCCCAGTGGCAAGACCTTGCATGTGTTTCAATAACACTTCTCACTCGTGTTCAGTTTATGGGTCATTTGAGAATATAACATTCAGAAATTGTTGGATGTTAAATTGTGCAGTCTTGGTTCCTTTCTATTTGGGATCATCAATGAAATTAATATCAAGTGGTATGAAAACCTCTGGAGCCACTTCCTGCCAAGAGCCTGAAGCTTAAGATTTCTGTTACTATTTCTTTGTTTAAGGATGTACGTATTATTGACACACTATTGCTAAACTAAGAGAATAGCCCTTGAGCAAGATGTTGGTTGTGATTGTGCCCTTTGATCAAATGTTAGTGAATATCTTTGCTAAAATTAATAATACTTCCAATTGAAATAACACCCGTTCACAAGCCAAAAGCTCTCGAGTTACTTTAAAATGCAGCATCTCTTGATAAATGGGAAGTATGTCAACAAAGTCCCACGAATAGCATTGAGATGAATGACCAATAAATGTCTTATGGTGTCTTTGGATGAGGAAAGTACTGACCAAAACACAGGGAAGACTCCCTGCTCTTCAAAATTGTACCCCATGACCTTTAACAGCCTCTTGAACAGAACCTCAGTTTAATATCTGATCTGAAGAAACCTCCAACAATGGAGCACTCCTTCAGAATGGATTACAAGCTCAATCTATGGTATGGAGCTCAAGACCACAACCTTCTGACGCAATTGAGGCAAATGTATGTGTCACTCGAGCACTCTCAGGATGTTGCAAAAACAGATTAACAGTTTGATAATAGAGTTTGTGATCATTGACATCAACATTAGTCATACTACATAGCTACCCACTGGGTTTAATCACCAGTTGAATGGGAGATGTGAAATGACCTCTTCTGTTTAACTGCTCTCTAATGGTGAAAGGTTGTGAATTTACATGGTTGGCATGACCTGCTACTTTTAGAAACCATATAAATGCTCACTTACGTTTATGAGTACCTCACAATACGCATCTTGGCTGAAATGCTAGTGACGCACTGTAGGAATTGCTCCAACGCCAGAGATTCCACCTACTGATGAGATATGAAACTGAGACCCTGTCTGCAAGTCTTCAGTTGCACTTTAAATAATCTGTGACACTACAGTATATAAAAAGATTAATTGGTCAATCACCTCTGTCCTGTTTGTAGGATTTTGCTATGCACATTAAGCTGCCACTTTGCCAGCCAAACCATTAGCACTTTAGTACATTAATACTTATACTATTGTTGGTCCATTGTGTTTATTTTTTCCTTCTCTTATCTTACTGTCACTGCATTGATCAACCAATAGCACATGTAAATAACCAGTATGAGGAAGCCCAGCCAGGTTGAGGATCCTTTACATTTTCCATTCCTTGTGGAGAAAATACCACTTCCAGACAGCAATGCATCAATGCATGAGAATCACTGGCACAAACTATATTTTACTATTCCAAGGTCTGGAAGACTGCTTTGAAGACCTTCCTCCTCACACAAAATTTAATTTGTAACATGCTGTTTGATACTTTGATATTAACTGCTACTTCCCTCCCACCACCTTCCAGATCATATTTGGAATGATAGTGCAATTATGGAGATTACTGAATAAAATATTTGCAATCACAACTGTGAATAATACATTTTGTAACAATATTCTGAAGCTTTACCTGTTCAGAACAGTAAATAGAAAGACAATTAACACTATTAATGCAAAGGCTTTATTGTTTTAACCACAGCTACGTATATAAATTAAATAAATACAGTGGAATAAATTGGCATCAATTTAGAAAAAGGAAATTATTATTTACATAACGCAATTTGTGTAACTAACTTTGAGGCTGTACCCCCCCACTCCCCACCCCACACTTACACAAACATCAACCATCTGAAAACCAATTCTTAGATTCCTATTTTATAAAGGATCAATAATTAAACCACAAGAGGCCAAAATTGAACTTGTCGCACAAGTGATTCACAGAGCTTAGATGAAACTTTATCTCTATGACTTGATGCCAATCCAGTCAGCAAAAACAGCAGAATGATTTATACAAGTGGTCGCTGTGTTGCGAAGAACTATTTTGCTGTTTCTGCTCTTTGAAGCCGTGGGCGTAACTTGAGTGTTTTCATTTTGTATACTGCCCGAACTCTGAATTTTAAAGACTTTTGCACTCTTTACATTAATGTCACAGAGCAAACAGCCCATTCTAACTCCATGTTGCACTTCTTCACACAAATTCTTTGAGTTGAGATGACTACAGATTTAGTTCTTTATCCCCACAAAGAAGAATGCTCTGAACAATCACACCATGTGGGTGAAAGAGAGTTCATACAATCTTTGAACCATTTAAAAATGTACCAACAACCTGCAATTATATAAAGCACATTTCAGGCGGGGTAGTGTCTGAGAGCACTGAGAAACTAAGTTAGTTTAGGGAATTCATTCAGCAGAAATAAACAAAAGAAGATCGCAAAGCAAGTTACATAATCCCATTCTTACAGACTTTCCATTAACTGGTTCAAAACAGGCATTAGCAGAATCCAAAACTAATTACCCATCTACCTTCTTAGTCAGGAGGCATAAACCAACCAAACAGGTTAAATGAATCTACTCCATAATTCTTAACAAAACAAGTTCTAAGAGTTATCTTACCATTCTGAAGCAGACACCTAGATAGAGACAAAGAGAGAAAAAGACAGATCACAATACTGTCCTGAAAAAGTAGCAAGGCCACACTACTACATTTTAATTAAATAATTTTGTATGGAACTGGTGTCCAGGATATGTAATGTGTTGGAAATATGTGGGACAGCATATGGATGGAAACGGGTAATTAGACAGCAACATACTCTAGGCGTTTAGATGGCCTCATAAACTGTAAAAGTGATTTATCAGAACATCACAATGTTACCATCATAAAAGCCTAGCTCTAGCTCAAGCTCAAGCATATGATAGAATTCCACTGTGAAAGAGAACAGAACTCAAGGAGAGAGGGGCCATCCAGGTCCTGATTTGACCATTCCCTATTATTTTTTGACCATAACCCTAATCCTGCTAAAACAGAAACCCAGTTCCTTTCTGAATATTTCACCCATCAATATTCACCACTACTTGACAAAATGTGAAGAAATGATTCCTTAATTGTAACCATCGATTCCTATTCCTTAATTATAACCAGTTTAACTTTTGGTTATGAACAAGTGTGTGTGCAACATCCCTCTTGGCCCATCCCATCATTTCCTTCACCATTTCGAAGCCTTGGAGCATATTCCCTCTTAATTGTCCTATCAATGAGAATAGATTTAGCTGTTTCCACCTTTTAAACCAAAGGTCTAATTCTGGAAATACACTCACTGCCCCTTCTCTTAATTCTTTGTATTATTTTGAACATTTTCATACAAATTTTCCCTTTGCACACTGTAGAGCATGACAATACTTTCCAAGCTTGGTGAAATATCAAACCCAGACTCTTTTGCCTGTTATTGTATTTACTATTTTTGTAGCTGTAACCATTTGTTACTGGTGGTATTTATTTCAGAACATATTGAAGTACAGAACACAGTATATCCCAAATACCAAAATTTAAAACACTATGAGATTTGAACTGGTTTCAGACATTTCATTAACTAAGTATTAACTCTTGTTTTCTAGCTTTAAACTTTAAAGCCTAAGATGCTTTATTATCAAAATAGATTTCAAATGCCAATAACCTAGTTATAGTAACAGCAATGCATTTTATATCTGCAATATTTGCAAACAAATAACTTAACGTGTCTCAACTAATCATCTCTCTTGCAAAATACTCTATTCCTACTATTACTATGTATCCTTCCTTCTCAAGTCATGGTTATTATCTAACTCCTCCAATGACATGTTTATAAACATGGTGGTCAATGGTTTTGCAGGTATCCTTTCTTTAAAAAATATACATACTGTGAAGTTACAAAGCTGAAATTCAAAGAGCGGAGAGGGGTTGTATAAAGTCAACATATGCTGCTGAATTACAATGTTTAACTCTCTCATGTTACTTATAATAATAATAATAATCCTTGCATTTGATATAGCACTCTTCATGTCTTCTAGACGTCTCAAAATGCTTCACAGAATATAAAGTGAATTGACTGTATATTTTTTGTGGGCGAAATGCTGCAGGCAATTGCACACAGCAGTGTCCCACATACAGTCGTGGATTAAGTGACCAAATTATTATTGGTTTTTTTCCTTGAGGGATTATTATCAGGTGTGTGGAGTTTACACCCAAATATTAGTTCTTTATAAAAAAGGATTCAGAAACAGAAAATTACACATTGACAGTTGGAAGCATTGACATGGCATTCACACAAAGCATCTAAGTTTGTCACCCACACCAGCCAGAATATTATGCTTTTAACAAATTCTCTGGTCAAATGCCAACTGCAACGTGATGCTGGACTTCCTTGAATCCAAAGTCGAGGGACTCCGCCCAGCTGCCTCTGCCACTGCATCTGCTATCACCTCCCCATCCCTTCTTCCCACCCCGGCCCCTACCTATCCCTCCCTCCACCCCTTTGAACCAGTCTCCCCCTTTTCTCTCATCACCACCATAACTTTTGTGAAACCCACCAGCTGCTCCCTCAACCCCATCCCTACCCCTCTCCTTACCTCCCAGCTTCACCTCCTTGCCCTTCTACCCACTGACATCGTAAACCTCTCCCTGTCCTCTGCTACTATTCCCACCCGTTTAAAAAACGCTGTCATCACTCCTATCCTTTAAACACCCTCCCTGGACCTTTCTCTGTTCCCTAACTACCGCCCCATCTCCAACCTCCTCTTTCCTCTCCAAGGTCCTGGAATGAGTTGTTGCTTCTCAGCTTTGCTCCTTCCTCTCCCGCCACTCCCTTCTCGAACCCCTCCAATCAGGTTTCCGTGCCGCCCACAGCATAGAAACAGCTCTGGTCACAGCGACAAACGTCATTCTGTCCATCTGCGACCAGGGCTCCCTCTGCCTCCTCATCCTCTCTGCTGCTTTCGACACTGTCGACCACTCTATCCTCATTCACCGCCTCTCCTCTCACCTCAACCTCCATGGCGATGTCCTTGATTGGTTCAGATCGTACCTCTCACACCGTCTGCACTTCATCTCCTCTAGCCCCCGGACCGTCTTGTGCAACATTCCTCAGAGCTCTATCCTTGGTTCCCTCCTCTTCAATATCTATATACTCCCTCTTAGTGACATCATCCGCAGACATGGGTCAACTTCCACATGTATGCGGATGACACCCAATCTACCTCTCTGCTTCCACCCTCGACTCCAGGACCACTGCTGTCCTGACAGAGTGTCTGTCAGACATCAAGTCCTGGATGAGCTAATTTTCTTAGTTGAATGTCAACAAGACCGAGGCTCTCCTGATTGACTCCCATCAGTGCCTCCTCACCTCAGGCGCTGACAGCATCACCATCCATGGTTGCACACTCCACCTCACTGAGCCAGTCCAGAACCTTGGGGGTCTTGTTTGACCCTCAACTATCCTTTCTACCCCACATCTGCGCCATGACCCGCTCTGCCTTCCCCCACCTCCGCAACTTCGCCCGGCTCTGGTAAATTCACTGCTTGCTGCCGTATTTCCAGGGATAATAATCCCTTCAAAAAATAAATTTAAAAAATAATAATTTGGTCACTCAATTCACGACTGTTTGTGGAAAACTGCTGTGCCCAATTGGCTGCCACGTTTCTCCCACAAATATACAGTCAATTCACTTTACAGTCTATTCTGTGACATCTAGAAGACGTGAAAAGCACTATATCAAATGCAAGAATTATTATTATTATAGTCAGCCTCCCCAGCTCCTCCCTCCACAGGCTGCAGATGATCCAGAACTCTGCAGCCCATGTCCTCCCCCGCACTAGGCTCCGTGACCCTATTACCCCCATCCTTCCCCAACTACACTGGCTTCCCATCACACAGGGATACAGTTCAAGATCTTGGTCCTCACCTTCAAAGCCCTCCACGGTCTTGCTCCCGCCTACCTCTCCAACCTCCTAACCCCCTACCACCCTGTGCACTCGCTCCGCTCAGCAGACCCTGGCCTGCTTCGCGTCCCCCGCCTTGCTCGCCCCACCATTGGCGGCGGGCCTTCACCACTCGCCCCGTCCCTCGCCACCTTCAAGACCCACGTCAAGGCCCTCCTCATAATGCAATCTTCCCACTTTAAAATCACACTTAAAAAAAACACACCCGAAAATCTAAGGCCTGAAGTTCCACCTCAGTTTAACCCTCAAGAGCATTTTCATCCTAAAATTTACAATTATGCAGAATTGTGGACCATTCTTAAATTGTGTCATCATTTGGAATCTCGTACCTTGTTTTAGAAAAAAGAACTGTAGAAATACAGCTTCCAAATGTAGAATGAATTTTAAAAAATCCAGGATGAAGGGTGATCTTAAATTTTAAAGACAAAATGGTATTATAGACCAAAACTAAGTGAAATTTCAGGCTGGTAACCTTACTGGTGATCTGAGAATCACCCTCATATTTATTACATAAACAAAATTTGATCAGGAGCTTGGCTGGTTAACCAATCTTTTTCTGGTCACTGTATGAACAAATTGAGTTCCCTGTATTTCAATGAGACTGTTATGGCCTTTTAAACCTGAAAAATATATATTGTTCCCACTTATTCTGAATTGGAGCAACTTTTATTCAGCCAGTAGCAAATGTAGGAAGAACATGCAGATGGTACATGCTTTAATTACATGGGCATTTCTGGTTAAAATACTCAACCAAATTCCATCACTCACCCACTGATTATTTACTTTCAAATATACATTAATTTATTAGGCATACCATTATTTATTTAGTCTTGCTAATTTAAGGAAGACTGCAGCCCATCTCTAAACATAGTTAATGTCCACTTGTTTGCAAAGCCACAACATGCACATTCTGGCATGTTTTCAGACTTTAAAAGTATGAGAGGTTCTGATGATGTAAACAGAGAGAAGTTACTTCACAGGTGAGCAAGTCAGTAACTAGAAGTCAGATTAAAAGTCATTACCAAAAGAGTGAGGGGGGAAGTTAAGGCAATTTTTAAAAAAAAAGAGTTGTTATTCCATGAAAAGAATCGTGGATGTGCAGAATTCAGCTTAATTGTTAAAAGGGAATTAAGAATAAATATCTGAAAGAGAGATATCTTTTTTTAAAAAAATAATGGGTCAGGGAGACAAAGCAGAGTAAATGGGACTAAACAGGCACAATAATAATAATAATCCTTGCATTTGATATAGCACCTTATCACATCTTCGAGATGCCTCAACATGTTTCACAGAATATACAGTAAAGTGAATTGACTGTATATGCGGTGGGTGAAAAATGGCAGCCAATTATGCCTGGCAAGTAATAATCCTTGCATTTGATATTGCGCCTTATCACATCTGTGAGACGTGTCAAAGTGCTTCACAGAATATACAGTAAAGTGAATTGACTGTTTGTTTCGTGGTCGAAACACGGAAGCCAATTGCGCCCAGAGCAGTGTCCCACAAGCAGCGGTGGATTGAGTGACCAAATTATTATTATTATTTACAAGTTAAGGGAGAGGTGTGTGTTTGTGTGGGGGGGGGGAGGTGTGGATGTGGTGGGGAGAGGGAAGAGGTGTGTGTGGGGGGGAGGTGTATGTGGGGGGTGGTGTATGTGGGGAGGTGGGAGAGATGTGTGTGTGGTGGGGAGAGGTGTGTGTGGGGGGGTGGAGGGAGAGGGGTGTGTGGGGAGAGGAGGTGTGTGTGTGGGGGGGGGAAGAGGTGTGTGTGTGGGGAGAGGAGGTGTGTGTGGGGAGAGGTGTGTGTGGGGAGAGGAGAGGTGTGTGTGGTGGGGGGAGGAGAGGTGTGTGTGTGTGGTGGGGGTGTGTGGTGGGAGGTGTGGTGGGGGGAGGTGTGTGTGGTGGGGGGAGGTGTGGGGGGGGGGAGAGGTGTGGGGGGGGGAGAGGTGTGTGGTGGGGGGAGGTGTGGGGGGGGGAGAGGTGTGTGTGTGGGGGGGGAGGTGGGGGGGGGAGAGGTGTGTGTGGTGAGAGGAGAGGTGTGTGGGGGGGGGAGGTGTGTGTGTGGGGGGGGTGTGTGGGGGGAGGTGTGGTGGGGGGAGATGTGTGGGGGGGGGGTGTGGGGGGGGGGAGAGGTGTGTGTGTGGTGGGGGAGGTGTGGGGGGGGGGGAGAGGTGTGTGTGTGGTGGGGGAGGTGTGTGTGTGGTGGGGGAGAGGTGTGTGTGGTGGGGGGGAGGTGTGGGGGGGGGGGGAGAGGTGTGTGTGTGGGGGGGAGGTGTGTGGGGGGGGAGGTGTGGGGGGGGGGGGGGGGAGGTGTGTGGTGGTGGGGGGGAGGTGTGTGTGTGGTGGGGGGAGTGTGTGTGGGGTAGAGGGAGGGGTTGTGGGGGGGGGACAGGAATGGCCGCTGAGCCGCGGTGTGTGGCTGCCGGTACCTACCCTGCACTCGGCCACTGATCTCAAAATCTAACGAACTCATCCTGGCGGCTACAGCCCCTGACATGGCAGTGACCGACAGCGAAACATAAAGAAAAACGCGCAAAATGTCCAGCCGATTGCGAGCCGCCCAGACGCCGAGCACCGCCAGCTCCTCCCCCCCTCCTTCTCCCCCTCTCCCCCTCTCCCCGGGGTCAAGGCTGCGCCGCTCCCCAACCCGACAGCTCGGCAGAATTTGCCAGAACTAAAAATCCGTTGGTAGCCCAAAGTCGAGCCCACAGTAGCCCAAAATGTAGCCCAACGTACACCGCGCCGCCTCCCCTATGGGCAGCAGCGAAGTCTTCGGCTTAGGTTGAGTGGGTTTTGAAACTGAACTGTTGAGAAAAGGTCTTCGAAGTCGTGGGGTGAGTGAGTGTGTGTGTGTGTGTGTGTGTGAGGGGTGGTGGGGGGGGAAACGAAAGGTTTACATTTAAAAAATCGGCCCTTTTCGTTTTTACGCGGGCGAGTACAATAAAACACGCCCAATTGGACGTGAAAGCCGCCAAATCTGGCGAGGTTGCCCACAGTCCGGTCCGAGAGATCCAGTCCGGGCTCATCCGACTACCATCACACACACACACACACACACACGCTGTTTGTTGGTGGCTCATCCACCAGGCCAGAGCAGCCAAGTGCTGAGCTCCTCCAACTTCTCTCCAATCCAACACTCCTTCAGCCACACACACTCCTGAGACAAACTCACCGAATCCAACCCGGCGCACTCCAGTCCAGGCTCATCCATCCACCAGTCCAAGAAAGCCAAATAATAATAATAATAATAATAATCCTTGCATTTGATATAGCGCTTTTCACGTCGGGAGGACGTCCCAAAGCGCTTCACAGAACACACTGTAAAGTGAATTGACTGTATATTTGTGGGCGAACGCGGCAGCCAATTGCGCACAGCAATGTCCCACAAACAGTCGTAGATTGAAAATGACCAATTTATTATTGTTTTTGGTTTTGGAGAGATTATTATTAGGCTCTGTGTGGAGTAAGGAAACTTGCCCAAGGTTTCGCCCTCTGCCTGGAATTGAACTCAGGTCTCTCGCTTACAAAGCGAGTGCTATAACCACTGAGCTACAGGACTCCACAAATGTAACCAAAAGAAAGCCAAATGCAGAATTCTTTCAACAACACTTGTGTTCAAACTCATCCCATCCAAACAGTATCAGGTCTGGGTGCACCTGCCGATTCAAGGAAACCCAAGTGCAGGCTCCTCAAACGACTGCAACTCATATGCTCTAAGCTGACCCTCCCAAGACTATGCCAGGGATGTGCCGTCCTTTGCATGAGACGTTTAACTTCGAACCAAATTTTTTTTCTTGATTGAATATTTCTTGATTGATGGCCACACCATAAATATCACTACTCAGTAGCTACTGGAAACAAAATATTGATTTAACACAGTCCTAGCCTAGTACGAATGTTCAGTGGATCACTTCTTAACAACTCCCATAGGCCACGGGTTGGTCACCATTGCTTTAAATCAAATTTCTATCTGCATTCAGGTACACATGAAAAACCCATGGCGCTACAGTACTCAAAAAGAGAAGGGGAGTTTTCGTGGCATCCTGTCCTCCAAATAAAATTTGTAATTTGTTTCAAGGCTCTTTGTAGGACACTGCTCTGCATAACAGTCATTCCACATTGAAGTGCTTTGGGATGACCTCCCGAAGTGAAAGGTGCTATGCCAAATGCAAGAATTTTTGTTATTTTTTTTCTAATACCTTTTGCATATCATTATATTTTGAAATTCTTTGGTGCCAGACAGTAAGCAGGGAGCATGGGGGAGGAGGAGACGGGATAAAGAGATAGGGATGCTACTCGATGCTCTATAAATGCACATTGTTGTTGATAGAGAAATGTGAGATGGGAAAGACAGAAGGGTGTAAAGAGGGAATGAAGTGAAGGCTTGGCTGCTGAGTGAAGAGTGACGAGCAGCAAACCCATGTTTGCTGAAGGGAGGGGGTGAGCAGAAGAGTGAGTTTGGAAAAGGTGATGGAGCTGATTCCTTTAACCTAGCACTATCTGATCCAGTTCCATGCTTATCAACCTGCATGGAGTCTGATCCAAACCCAGCAGGGTCCAATTTATTTGAATTCAGTCAAAATTGATTCTATCTGGCAGAGTCTACAGTGCGTTCCATTCTGATGATCTACTTCACTGTATTTCCTTTCAGCCCAACCAGACCAACAAAATAAAGTAATAGATCACCATAACCATAGACTAAAGACCAACAAACCCCAGTAAGCAGAAACTGCTTGACTGCAGCCCAACCTAATCCAATCCAACACAGCAACATTAAGAGTTGATCGCAAACTATGTCTGCAAAGTAAAAGATGCAGAATTAGCTTCAAAAGGCTACCCAAAGAGAGAGGGAACATCGCTCTCCTTATTGTTACTGAGTGGTACTATTCCATTTTATGGCTGTAGGCAAATAAGGAACAGGAATACCAATCTTGCCTAATAAGACACCTAATACATTTTTTTCAGCTGAGTCATTGTCTGACTTTGGCCCATTCTGAAAGCTTGAAATGAGTGAGAGAGATATGCTGCCAATTCCTTATCTCACCAGCACTGATCTATAACATTATGCATATATCCTTGAGATTACAAAAACTCTTTGAAAAAAAACTCATGAACAATGATGACCAAAAAGTTGTGATACCATTACAATGCCTAATAAGTCTTAAAGAAATTATAATTTTTTTTAGATAATAGGGTAGTTATCATGATTTTTTGGTCACCTTGGTAAGCATCCTTGCAACACCCCCCATTCCCTTGAGCAAATGCAGACAAGTATAAACTATGTGCTTTATTTCTCTTCTCACTGGAGCTCATTTCTTTAACCGCATGATCAGCTGCAGAGAATTGCCCAATCTTAGGGCTTTCATTATGTTGTGGTAATTTTTTATGCTAGGGAAATGATAGTAAAAATATGAAAAGCAGGACTATTGTTTAGTACTTATGGGAACCAAGTGACCTTTGAGTAAACAACAGAATCTAGTAACATTGTCTTTCTTCCACCCACCCAGTGGTGCCTCTCCCTCTGATCAGCTTTTCCCTCTGTTTTCCCTTCCCTTGCTATTTTCCTCTTTTTTCTATCCTATCTGCCTCTTGGCTGCTGCTACTTTCACCTGTGCTAGCTTCTGTGAGTGTTTCTCTGTTTTATTCTATCCTATGTGCAGCTCTATCTCCCTCTGTTGGGTGTGTATCTTTCTTTGTATATCCCGAGAAAACCCTATTTATTAGTTTATTCTAACACTGAACAATTTGCTATTTTTCTTGTTCTGTGTGTGTGTAATAGATAATTGTTACAAACAGCAAACATTTCCTTCCTGGTTTATACAGGAAACCACAGTTCCTCATTTGTGCCTGTCTTTTTCTCTCCATCTCCCCATTTTTCTAAATATTCTTTCCTGTCATGTAGATAGGGCTGTACAGCTATCTCATGCTAATTAAATTGTAAACAATGACTATGACTCCAGTTGCGGGGAGAGGGTGATGAATTTACAACAAAAAATTACATTTATATAACACCTTCCACGTCAAGAGGAAGTCCCAAGGTACTGTGCAGTCCAGGGTTTGCAACCGAGCTGGGGGTGGGGGCTCAGGGAGTGCGGGTAAAGATGACCAAAGGCACAGTCAAAGAGGAAGGACCTTGAAGGAGAGGGAAGAGGTGAATCTTAGGGACTGGAATGGAGTTCCAGAGAGTGGGGCATATAGGCTGAAAGCCTGACTGCTGATGGTGGGATGAGTAGGGTGGAGGGCATGAAACAGGCCAGTGCGCACTGAGCCGAGAGAGCAGGTGGGTTGTTAAGCTTTGAGGAGGACGTTGATGGTGTGATCTTAGATTGGAACATCAGATAAGGGATTTTGAACCCGTAGTCTAGGCTCACTACAACAATACTAATTCAGTGCTGGGGGAATGATGCTTTGTTAGATGCACTTTCCTTCAGATGAGATGTTAAACTGATATCCCATCTTCTTGTTCACATGGACATTAAAGATCCTACAGTAATATAAAAGAGAAAGGAGATTCTCCTGGTATCGTGGCCAACAATCATTCTGATAAAAATTGATCATTCACTTGATAGCTGTTTGTGTGACATTGCTGTGCCAAATTAGCTGCCACATTTGCCTACAAATAGTCACTACACTATACAGAAAAAAACACTACAAACACCTTTATATGTTTCAATATAAGACACTATATCTAGTGCAAAGATTATTATGATTATTATGTACAGTATCTCTGAATAAAATCGGTCACTCACTCCATGACTGTTATGGGACATTGCTGTGCGCAAACTGGCTGTCGCGTTTCGCCCACAAAATAGTCAAACCATTTTACAGTAAATCCTGAGAAGGGCTTTGAGATATCTTGACATAATATAGCACTATATCAAAGGCAAGGTTTATTATTATTATTATATATTCCATTTCATATATGTGGATTTTGCTGGACAGTTTCCCAGACCCTTTGCATGTACCTGTAGTGGAGTCCTGTAGCTCAGTGGTTAGAGCACTCGCTTTGCAAGCGAGAGACCTGAGTTCAATTCCAGGCAGGGCAAAACCTTGGGTAAGTTTCCTTACTCCACACGCCTAATAATAATCCCTCCAAAACCAAAAACAATAATAAATTGGTCATTTTCAATCTACGACTGTTTGTGGGACATTGCTGTGCGCAATTGGCTGCCGCGTTCGCCCACAAATATACAGTCAATTCACTTTGCAGTGTGTTCTGTGAAGCGCTTTGGGACGTCCTTCCGACGTGAAAAGCGCTATATCAAATGCAAGGATTATTATTATTATTATTACCTGCAAAAAGCCTTTGTACAGTTGACAGTAACTTGGAGTCCTGTAGCTCAGTGGTTAGAACACTTGCCTTGCAAGCGAGGCACCTGGGTTCAATTCCAGGCAAGGCGAAACCTTGATCCTCTCGATCCTATCCTATCTTCACCCCCCAACCCTCCTAATTCATTTTCTTCTCATTCTCCATTTTTCTCTGTGTGGTACATACCCGTTTCTCTTGGCCTCCCTCTTTGCAGTGTACTTTATTGTGCTTTGTTGAGTGTGTATCTCTGCAATGGAGATACGTGCAGGACATTTTGTGTATCTCTGTCTATAAAAGACAGAGGAAGACGAAAACACGTCCAGCCCACATGCATAGAACATAGGTAAATTCTGAATTCTCTTCCCTGTGTCCTATGTTTATTGCTTTTACCGTCTACGTTGTGTCTGTCGCTTGTTTGTTTATGAATGAGAAACCAAGGGATATATGGGAGACAGAGAAGTAAAAATAAATGAGGCAACACAGGACAAAGGGCATGGAAGATAGATTCACAAAAAACTTACACACAGGCACGGAACAGACGTACAAGATATAGGTGAACTCCACGTCTTGTAATGTTGCTATATACTTGGGAGACAACATGATGCAATGACATGCTGTAGCCTGTCTGTATTATTGTATCTCAGTTTTAGAGCTATGTATTCAATATTGTAGTATTATAGTATGGCCTTATATATCTATTTATATCTAATTATTATTATTAATCGTCTTGCATGGTCTCTCTGTCAAATACAAATTACAAAGAATCAGATAGATACGATTAAAGCACAGAGAATTATCTTTCAATTCTTCATGCATTTCCATCATTACCACTGTCTTCATGTGTCCCTTCCATTTTTCTCTCCATTACCCCTCCTCTTATCTTTCCTCCCTTTACTTGGTCTCTGTTTTAACATTTAGAAATCCCAGTGGAAGTCCAAGGCCTACTGGGTAGATCCCCACCAATGTTGAAAAGATTGGAAGAGAGTGAGAAAGACACACATGGGAGGGTGGGAGAGAAGCACAGAGAGAGAGAGAGAGAGACACACACACTCACACACACAAAGAATAAGAGGCACAGAGAGAGTGAGAAAGACATCAAGCTTTGTAGACGATAGAAGGAAAGATGGAGTGAGGGAGAGAGTTGAAGACTTGAGGAGCTCAAAAAATGTTGGAATTGGAGTCAGTAAGATAAGTAAGTTGCTATCTATTTGGAGCTTGGGAGGAATAAGAGAGTAGCATTCAGAAGTGATGACTGCAGTGATATCGTTCTGTGTCTCAATCATTCTGTTACTGTATTTCACTCTATCTGTATCTCACTCTGTGTGTGTCTCATTCACTCTGTATCTCACTCATTCTGTATCTTACTCACTCACTCTGTGTCTGCGTGTCTCACTCTCTCTCTCTGCCGCACTCTCTCTGTATCTGTGTCTCACTAATTCTGTCTCATTCACTGTCTTTATATCCTTCTCTTGTTGTGGTATGTCTCTCTTTTTATATTTGTGTGTGTCTCTCTATTTGTGTCTGTCACTCTCCCTCCCTCCCAGTGTGTGCCTCTCTCCTCTATGTGTATCTCTCACTGTGTGTGTGTGTCTGTCACTCTCCCTCCCTCCCAGTGTGTGCCTCTGTGTGTGTGTGTGTGCCTCTGTGTGTGTGTCTGTCACTCCCTCCCTCCCTGTCTGTACCTCTCTCTTCCTGTGTGCATCTCTCACTGTGTGTGTGTGTCTGTCACTCTCCCTCCCTCCCAGTGTGTGCCTCTCTCCTCTGTGTGTATCTCTCACTGTGTGTGTGTGTGTGTCTGTCACTCCCTCCCTCCCTGTCTGTACCTCTCTCTTCCTGTGTGCATCTCTCACTGTGTGTGTGTATCTGTCACTCTCCCTCCCAGTGTGTGCCTCTCTCCTCTGTGTGTATCTCTCACTGTGTGTGTGTGACTGTCACTCTCCCTCCCTCCCAGTGTGCCTCTCTCTGTGTGTGTGTATCTCTCACTGTGTGTGTGTGTGGCTGTCACTCTCCCTCCCTCCCAGTGTGTGCCTCTGTGTGTGTGTGTGTATCTCTCACTGTGTGTGTGTGTGGCTGTCACTCTCCCTCCCTCCCAGTGTGTGCCTCTGTGTGTGTGTGTGTATCTCTCACTGTGTGTGTGTGTGGCTGTCACTCCCTCCCTCCCAGTGTGTGCCTCCCAGTGTGTGCCTCCCAGTGTGTGTGTGTGTGCCTCTGTGTGTGTGTGTCTGTCACTCCCTCCCAGTGTGTGCCTCTGTGTGTGTGTGCCTCTGTGTGTGTGTCACTCCCTCCCTCCCTGTCTGTACCTCTCTCTTCCTGTGTGCATCTCTCACTGTGTGTGTGTGTCTGTCACTCTCCCTCCCTCCCAGTGTGTGCCTCTCTGTGTGTGTGTGTATCTCTCACTGTGTGTGTGTGTGTGGCTGTCACTCCCTCCCTCCCAGTGTGTGCCTCCCAGTGTGTGCCTCTGTGTGTGTGTGTGTCTGTCACTCCCTCCCAGTGTGTGCCTCTCTGTGTGTGTCTGTCCCTCCCTCCCAGTGTGTGCCTCTCTGTGTGTGTCTGTCCCTCCCTCCCAGTGTGTGCCTCTCTCTGACTCACTCACAGTGTCAGCGGTTAATGGGATCAGAGACAGGAAGTGATGCTGGTCAGCGGGAGCGGGTCAGAGAGCGAGCGAGCGAGTCAGCGGCTGTTGCCGGTGACAGCGGTTCCCGGACACGCGCGGCGGCCGCTGTGGGCTCGGCGACAGAGAGAGAGAGAGAGAGAGAGACCGGGGACCCACAGAGAGACAGCGGGGGGGAAAGGGACAGAGTATCGGCGGCGGCGGAGGAGGAGAAGGAGCCGGAGATGAGCGAGGAGCGGCGGCGGCAGGCGCTGGGCTTCTGTCCCCAGAAGGAGATCGTGTACAACGAGCTCCTGCCGTACTGGGAGCGCCTGGACTCGGAGTCCAACGCCATCCTCGCCAGCATCAAAGCCAACCTGGGCCGCGCCGTGCAGCTCCGAGAGCTGTGGCCCGGAGTCCTGTTCTGGACCCGAAAACTTTCAACGTGAGTCTCCTCCCGGATTCCCACACACACACAGAGAGAGAGAGAGGGGGAGAGGGGGAGAGGGGGGGACTGATTTATTGTCATTTATTATTTATTTTAGTGTAGAGTTTTGGTGACTGTGTGTGTGTGTGGGGGGGACGGGACGGGGTGAAGTTGTCCTGGAGGCGGACGGGGCCAGTGACGGGCCCAGGGCCTAAAGCTCGGCTCAGGCCCAGGCCCCGGGGAGAGGAACATGAGAGACTGACAGACAGACAGACAGACAGAGAGAGACACAGAGAGAGAGAGAGAGAAATCACAAGAGACACAGAGAGAGAGAGAGAGAGAGAAATCACAAGAGACACAGAGAGAGAGAGAGAGAGAAATCACAAGAGAGAGAGAGAGAGAGCGATAACGAGAGAGAAGACATAGAAATCACCAGAGACAGAAAACCAGACGAGAGAGAGAGAGAGAGAGAGAAATAACGAGAGAGAGACAGAAAAATCAGCGAGAAATCAGGAGAAAGACAAAGAAATGACACAGAGAGAGGGAGAGAAAATAACGAGAGGCGCAGAGAAACGAGAGAGAAGTGATACGAGAGAGAAAGGGGGAGAGAGAGGGGGACACAGAGAGAGGGAGAGATGTGGCCCCAACTGTCTAATTACGGTTCGAAATAAAGAACAAATCCTCGGGCCCTTTGTGGAACAGCCTCTGAAGCGCTGCCTCGAGAGGGAAAGAGAGAGAGAGAGAGTGTGTTTGTGTGTGAGTGGGTTTTTTTGGGGGGGAAACAGCAAAGGTGTTTTGTGTGTGAAGCCTCGGGGTCTCTGATGCCCTTTCGCTGAGTGCCGGGGTTGGGCGGGTTGGGCGGGTCGGGTCGGGCGGGTTGTGCTGGAGTTCAGCTGACGATGACACCACACTTTTTTTTTGCGCGCGGGTGTTGGACAAAGTTGGTTCAAAGTGCCGGTCGGGGGGTGGGGGTGGGGGGGCGTGGGGGGTGGTGGGGTGGGGGGGGGGGTTCGGTGTGAGGAATACACCGAAAAGTTTATTTGTTTGGATACAATCGCAGCTCAGGATTTTTAAGTGGCGTATATCTATATATATATATATATATATATCTCAGCTGATTGCTTGACTTCCCCCTTTGCTATCCCCCCCCACCCCCCATCCTCCTCCCCCCCATCCTCCTCCCCCACCCCCCATCCTCCTCCCCCCCCCACCCCCCATCCTCCTCCCCCCATCCTCCTCCCCCCACCCCCCATCCTCCTCCCCCCCACCCCCCATCCTCCTCCCCCCATCCTCCCCCCCCATCCTCCTCCCCCCATCCTCCTCCCCCATCCTCCTCCCCCCATCCTCCCCCCCCACCCCCCCATCCTCCTCCCCCCACCCCCCCATCCTCCCCCCTCCCCCCATCCCCCATCCTCCTCCCCCCCTCCATTTGATAGTTATTTGGGGCTTATTCAGCTTTTTTGGTAAGTGTCATCTCTTGCAGGTGCTCAGGTCAGACAGGATTTTCAACTGAGTTTGTGCACACGTTCATTTGTTTTATTATTATTATTTTTTTTTTAAAAAAAAGCCGGTTTTCACATGTGTGAAAAACTAAACACGAAAAGCACAACGATCGGTTGTTCACTTAAAGTGGGAAACCCAATACAGTTTTCACATCGTATGGCCTCCTAATTGAGAACCTTCCAGGGATTTATTTGTGACACTTGCGGACCTGCTGAAGCAGGTAACTTGCAGGTAACCAGCTGTTTACCTGCAGATTGGCATATTGTCAAGTATGGATATGAACAAATTATTGTAAATTTACGCTGCTTTTGTTTATCCCGCTTCGGAAAGCAGTAAAACCTCACATAAATTGTATCAGGTTGGACCATACATTGAATATGACTTATCCAAAGTATGAGTTATGTAAAACTTGTAAATAATAGGAAATTCAAATAATAGGGACTTGGGCAGATGTACAACTTTGGCAATTATACGATTTATACAGATCAGAGACATGAGAGTTTTACTGTATACAATTATGTTAGTCTGGCGAAGACGTAGGAGTGTAATGTATATCTGTTCTCAGATAAAGAGAGAAAGGCTTGGGAACTATTTGGATGATGCATTGTCGTCGGGCTGGAGGAAGTGGCAGAAAGGCAGGTTAAAAAGTGTTTTTAAAAGAATCACAACTCTTTAAACAGAACAGTTCCACTTATAAAATGCACCCCTTCATTTAGTATTGCTTACAATTTTAACACTCCCCAAAATGTCTTTCTTCTTAAATTACCAATTTACTTTTGCTCAAGATCTCCCTTAAACAGCTTTCTATGTTCACCCGTTTCAATCCATTGCTGATTAATTTATTTAACACAAATCTTAACAGTATATTGAGTGACTACTATTCTATTTTAATGCCCATTTAAATGTGATGTATTGCAACAGGGCTCAATTCTTTGTCAACAAAATGTTCTTTGGAAAGCATTGGAAGATTGTTCGCATTGAAAATAAGATCACGTTGTGACATTTTTAAGTTATATGTAATCTAAGTGTTGTAAGAGAGTTTTGCAATGGGTTTGCATGAGGTAAGAGTATCTGCTGTTGGCCTCAATCCTCTCCATAACTACAATGGAGGTGTGCAGAGTTGGGGTATCTAAATAGGAACATAAGAATTTGTTACGCAAGAGAATACCAAGAACCATCTCGTTCGCCTTCCACTATCCTGGCAGTCGCTTAACATGTTGTGTCCCAAATTAAATATTGTATCCTGAGATATTATTTTCTAGCAGAAATCTTATCTAATTTGTTCTTGAAACAAACAACACTTTCTGCTTCCACTGTTAACATTATTAGTAATGGGGGACTCAGATGAAGAAAGTAGAAGATTGGAAGTTTGTAAGATGAATTTGAAAAGCTCTTAAAAATGAGGAAAACATCAAGGTCATCATTACTCTTAGCAATTGACTGCCATCCTCTGAACTGTATATTAGGCTCATCAAGCAATTACATTGAACTCGTATCTTGTGAATTTTTTTTGTTACCCAAATACGCTTTTTATTTTGGCTAATTGTGGATTCCTTTCACTCTTTCTGATTTGAGCCAAGAAAGAGAGCAGTACATAACATATTTACTCCTATTGGCTCACAATACATTTTCCTGCATATAGGGCTCAGTTTTGGAATAAAAATGCAAGAATTATTAACAGATGACCTACAGAAGATTTCCAAATGTGTTACATGAATAAATAATTTTATTTTGGAGGGATTATTACCCCAAGAAAGCGATCCGCCAACCGACTAACAACCGGTTTCCTATTTTCTGCTAGGTAAACAGCCAGGTGTGCTAGATGTGTGGAGTATTGAAACTTGCCAAAGGTTTCGCCCCGTCTAGGAATTGAACCCAGGTCCCCTCACTTGCAAGGGGAGCACGCAAACTCCACTGTTTAAATAGGACTTTAAACCTAATCCTGTTTAAGATCCCTACCACATAATTTGAAAAGAGAAGGTAGTCTCTCCAGGTATCCTGGCCAACATTCACCAAGATATAATTGGTCATTCATTTCATGGTTGTTTGTGGGACGTGATTGTGTGCAATTGTTCTATTGGTTTCACCTACAAATACTGCCACTAAACTTTAGAGTGAAGTCCCATGAAGCACTTTGAGATGTTTCCACGACGTGATAAAATTCTACATCAAATGTAAGGATTGTTATTAATAATAAGTATTTATGTACGTGCCAGTTATTCCCAAAGTTTGTCACTCATGTTATTTTCTTGAAAATCATAAGTGGCTCTAGCTGCTTTGAGAATTTTACATTGAATTAAAGGGGTAGTATACATATAAATTGATTTTATGAAATTCTAGACTCAGAATTTAGCCTCACATCCATTTTGGGTGATTTGGTTGATGCTTCTAATCTCGAATATGGAAAATGGAAATTCAATGGTTAAAAATAAGGAAACCAGAATGCGAATGCAGTTTTAAAGTAAGCTTTGTCTCACTTGGGGTTTCTTGAGCTGGTGAATAAACTATTTGATTCACTTGTGCAAATCAGTGGGGAGTCTGGGGATTAATCTAAAAAATACCATCAGATTAATTTCCTTCTTTTTGACATCATTTGAACTCCTGACGTGTTGTCACCTTGTAATGTGCGCTAGTCTGTTTGTAAGACAACCGCTGCATTTTCCAGCAGGTTTTAAACCAAGCGGGGCTTTTTGTAGGCTGAAATACATGTTAAAGCTCCTTCTTGAACAAAAGTTTTAATTATGGCAGAAAGCATTCCAGAATCTTTACGTGAGAATTTGCTGAGGCCAGCCATGACCTATGATAAGTGTGTTCATGGGTGAAGCTGGTAAAATATTCATTGTACGTCAAGGGTGTACTTGAAGCGTTCTATTTATAAATAACTGAGTGGGGGGGAGGGAGGTTTTCAACTGGAAACTTGTTGTCAACTGAAAATAAACAGTTGCTGCGTGGTGATGTCATGTCATTATGACATAGATTAGTGGGACCATAATGTTTATTTTCAATTAAATTTGACCACATGTCTAATAGCACTAAATGGGGCGTGAGTGGGGTGGTTGCAAAATGGTCTGGGTAACTGACATTCAATCCTCTGGCCACCATATATTATTTCCTACCTTGTGGAGTTATGTTTTCATTCTGTGCTGGCACCACTGATTCTTTTCTCCCTTCTCTGCCAGTTCTGTTGGGTGACACAAAGTGATCTTAGGCTGTTCATCTTAGCCTCATCTGGCTGCTGTTAATTTGTACCAGTTATCCAGTATATTTTGGATACAATTATTAAAAGTATGTTGAGTATGATATCCTCTAAAGCTGACAGTGTTCACAGTGAAGACAGCAGGCAGTGGAATCCTTGTGCTCAATTTTGTACAGTATACCTTTTGTTCATATTATTTTATATAATAATAATAATACTTGCATTTGATGTAGCACTTTTCATGTCTTCTCAATGTCTCAACGCACGTCACAGAATATACTGTAAAGTGAAATGACTGCAAAAATTTTGGGTGAAATGC